ACAGAGAGAGAGAGAGAGAGAGAGAGAGAGAGAGAGAGAGAGAGAGAGAGAGAGAGAGAGAGATGGGCTAAGAAATTCCACCATCAGCGACTGGAGGAAAGAGAACTTCCTCCTCCTCCAAACTCAATCATCTCACCACACCACTTACCACAGTTCTGTACTCAATGCCATGCCTGATGAGCTTGTCTTCACTGAGGGAATATTTGGCCTCACTGGTCACTGCGTCCACTGGCCCCTTGTCCACTTGCTGCTTGATGGCACGGAACAACATGAAGAGGGGCTCGCCAGCACACTCCTTCAGGAACTTGAACAGCAGGAATGTGAACCAGTTGGTCAGCATCTTTTCTGCTACAGATTCCGTCCTGGAACACAAAAAAAAATTTGGACGTAAGTGTTAAACTATTTCTTTATCAGTATATAAGTTTAGTTGAAACTTTACTTGATATTTGCTGAAAGCACAAGTTTTCACTATTCATCCAGATGCATATATCAAATATATTACTTACTAAACAGACACATTACATTAAAAAATTTTATACGATCTTATCAATCATTAGATAAATTCATGACAATAAATGCGTTTTCAAATATGGTCCGTTACCTCCTGAGCAAAAGTTTTGGGTGGTTTCTTCCCTCCACAGATCTCTCTATCAACTCTGCCAGCAAGGTTTTTAGGATACTGGAAAATAGAATTAGATTTATTATCATTTATTTATGTATTACACGAGGCTATAACTATGGCAATAGGCCTCCCTGTGTGTTTATTTATTAATAAATCAATAACCTTCACATGAACTTAGCTTTGAAAAACAGAAATCATGTAAAATGAGTGAATTGTAAAAATCAGTGTTCTTTCTGAACTTAATTTCAAATATGAATGTTGAGAATTTATGGGCTGACTTGAGGTCACAAATCTTTATGACAACAAACATTTTAACAAATTCTACATATTGCACTGCAGTTTGTAAACAGATATACTGCTAAAACTTATAAAGGTTGGGAGTGTCATTGGACTGAATCCTCATCATCATTAAACTTACTCTGTGTGATACTCCATTTTGTTCTGAAGTGCGACAGATATCAGCGAGGCCACGTTGACGCGCTCACGCATGGAGAAGTACTTGTTGGATTCAAGTGTTCGCACAAATAGCAACAGGAATGTTTTATTGTTGACGAGCTGAGTGAACAGCTTCATTCCTTTCTCTAGGTTGTCTTGGCGACCATACTCATACTGTAAAAACAATAAATTTATAAAGAACAAGCTCAAGTCAAAAAGATAAAATAATGGAAAAAAGCACACAAATACCATTACTGAATATCAGAGAGGAGGATATAAATAAGGAGCCATTGAAATATTGGAACAGCAATAATTTAAATTTTCAACTGTTGTTGGAAGGAAACATTACTGAACTTTGAAAAAAAAAAAACTTTGATATGAGGAAAACATCTCAAAAGTGGGTCAAAACAAATGTAAGTACCTGTAGATCTCTGAGTACTGGATGGTCATATTCATCTGTAGATGGAAACAACACGCGCATGCAGTACGTCCTGTAGTCTACGAACGGGATTCCCACCACGCCAGAGAGATCACTGGTCACTTCCGTCATGTCCGTCTGCAGTTCAGCAAAAGCTGAAATATCAAGGAGAACATAACTAATAATAAATCTCAAACTGTATCATATGATAAAATAATATACACAGTCATGGTAATTAACTGTGTCAACTGCAGCACCACCTAGAGTTTCACAGATTACCCAGAATTCGTCAGCATGCTCAAAGGACAGAGGCCTGTTGATAATGAGAGCAAGTTTTTTGTAATCTTTGAAACCCTTGTTGTTGCTACAAAATAACAAGCTGTCCAGCTGGTGAACTGATTTATGAAGTGCCAAATCAGCTAATGAACAATTTAGATTGAGATGTCATTAAACATTCTCTTAACGCAGCAGTGTCATAGTCTGCAAGCCCCGTTTCTTGCACTTCAGTCATATTCTGCTCAAATGCTCCAAAAGTTTGAACTAAAATCATATATTCTTGAGTAAAATTACATAAGAAAATCATACTCCACAACAAAAAACCCAAGATAATCCAAGTATACCAGGAAAATAGTTACTCTTACTGAAATTTCTTTATTGAAAAAGATTTGTTTAAAGCCTAGTGGGATAAAGAAGCAACCATCATGAAATGCATGGTCTGCTGAAAGGGTACAATATTCAACTGTGCCAATACATAATTATAAAATAATTTCAAAGCCAAATGAGAACATTAACACCTGTGAGCACAAAATAAAACTTTTAATCCTGAAACAGCAAAATAATAATTTCTGTAAAAGAAAGTTAACATCTCTAGTAACATGACATCCTCTGACTTCTACAGCTGACATGAACAGAATGGTGCCCAGAAGTTAACTCTGAATTTGATTAAAATGCTCTGTGAAAGAGGGTGATACTGTGACATAACTTAGCTCTTCAGGCTGTGGTGAGAATACCGTGATTTTGTGAAGAAAATGGATACAATAACCATTAATGGATAAAATCTTCATCTGAACAACCATTTCAATTAGACAATATATTTTTTATAATGGGACTGGGTGACTGTTAAGAAAGTTGTTGGAAAAGATCTGTGACAAGCTAGCAGATAATGACATAATCTATTCATCTATCAACTTTTATGTTAGATTCAATTTGAGAGATGCAAGATAATTTGTTTGAAACAATACAGAATGTGACTTCAGTGACAAACATATTTCTCGATGGAACCATTTCTGTTTTCGGAAACTGTAAACCAGCCGCACAGATTTGTCTGATATTAACATACCAATAAATTTGCTTTTGTTGCCATCTTAAAACAAGTGCAAAATCACATCAAAATGCACCCTGTGATAAAACACGTGGTTTACACATCAATTCAAAAGTGATGTTGTCATGGGTACCACAGAAAAAATATTTTTATTTTTCATATTAGCCTTTCTTGGCATTTGTGCCCTCTATTGTTGCAATGCCAAAATTTCACATCACTCAAGCTGTGCAGCATAAAAAACACATTTTTCTTTTCTTTTTTTTTTTTTTTGACATATTCTTTATTTAATCGAGGTATATGTATTATATGCCTTTCCCCACCCAGAAACATTTTTTTCACAGACTACCATGGTCCAATACTACTAAAGAATAATCTATCCCAAGTCATTTTTGCCGAAAGCAGAAAAGCAGAGCCTACTATATTCAAAGCCATTAAGCAAACATATTTCGCCAAAAGAAAACTCAAACAAACAGGGCCCACTGAACAGCAACATATAGTGCCTTCAATTTCACACCATGTGAATACTTTTAAAAAAATCAATGGAAAAAAGTTAATTGTTTTGGTTCACTATACCAACCATCATTATATATACCAATGTCAGATGTAGAGTCAGTGATGTCTGTTTCTAGATACTCTATAAAGGCTGAAAGAGGTCAAAGCCTAGAGGTCAAGGTTGAGGTCAACATGAGATGTCAAGGCTGACATGAAGGTCATTTCCTAAATAAAAAGTTCTGGACAAATCTAAAGCTAGATTTAGGCTTATTTGAGACAAAATAGACATATAACTGGACACGTTCTTCATGCTGCTTCTATTTTCTTTGAAATTATTACACAAACGCCAAAAAAACTGAATCTGTAGGTTCATTGTACCCCCCATTTGACATCAAATAAAGAACAGAAACAATGAAATTCAGCAACATCCAATTAGTTAAGTTCTTTTTTTAATGATATACAAACCAATGATGTTGGTGAAAATCATTTCTGAAAGCTTAACTTTGCTGGTTGGCACAAAGCATTTTGAATGGATGCTATATTGGGTACAATTATTGGACAATTCTTTGATCTATTTGAACACATTAATTATTCCTACCAATAAATTTCGATCGAATAAATTTTTTTGCCAGGATAAGATCTTATAGACTGGTTGGTATTCATAATCTTAAAATATGGTTGTTGTCTATCAAACTGGGAGAATGAAAAAGTCTGCCTACCTTCATCATCATTCATTAAGAAACATGGATTCAAACCTGTTGCATAAAGTCATTTTAAAAAGTTTTTAAAATACTCAATTTTTCAAATTGATTTTTTCTGGCAATATAATCCATAAAACTCTTTGAAATAGATCAAAGAATTTACCACAAATTGTTTCAAAAGTAAGACATCAATATTAGCATTTTTATCAAACTCTCTCTCACCTTCTTTGCACTCCTTAGCCACGCGAATCTCCAGAACATCCATCTGCGTCTGCATTCTCTTCATCACGCGGTCACTCTCTTGGGATTTCTTGCGATATGCCACACAGACAAGAATGATTATAAGGAGGCAGATCAGGAAGAATGCACCTACACCAGCCCCTATGGCAATAATGGCTGTAAGGGAGAGACCACCTTCCTCATACTTGATAACACCAAGAGTTTTTCTGAAGTTGTCTCCAACGCTCACCTGCAAAAATCAAACAAAAAATGTACATAAAATTATATCTGTTACCAAAATTATATAACAGATATAATTTTATGTAAAGGGAAATTTGATTGCTATCAATTTGGATAAGCTAAATTAGTTTTACTTACCTTAGCTGAATAAACACATCATTCAAAATTTTTAAGTACCCTAAAGCCTGCCATTATTTTTAACCCAATCTACTCCAATCTAGGGTGTAGGGGTGTTCATGCGCTTGGCTTCACATCCAGTGTTGTTAAGGCCGGCTAGTCCACAAGGGCGAAAGGTGAAATTTAAGTAGCTTGCCGGTGACCCGTAGATCACTCAAGTCAACCTCTCCTCCCCGTGGTACACCCTGGAAACTAGGTCCTAGCGGGCCTAGGCTAACGAGGCTCTGGCTATGGGAAGGAAAACCCTGACATAAAACCTACTGCGGGGGGCCAACAACCCTCCCGGTTCAAATTAATTGTTACAGAAACCACAAAAACTTCTACTTCAACTAGGTCCTCAGTGTATTCGAGTCAAGACCACGACACTATGACCATTTCTGATGAAAGCCCACCACCGGAAGTCAGGAGTGCGAAGTCGGATGCACTGGGGCCCAAATCCATCCTTCGTGTTGGGGCATGGAATGTCCGCACCATGTTTGAGACCTCCAAAACAGCTCAAGTTATCAATGAGATGAAGAGATACCGACTAGACATCCTGGGTATCAGCGAATGCCGTTGGATAGGATCAGGACGTCTCACGACAAACGATGGCTCACTTATCCTGTACTCTGGACACGAGAGCACACACAGTCATGGGGTAGCCATCATTCTCTCGAGAGAGAAGGCCAGAACTCTCATGGAATGGGAGCCTATCAGTGAGCGGATTGTTAGAGCGCGTTTTGACTCAAAGTACTGTAAGCTCACTATCATTCAGTGCTACGCACCAACTAACGACGCTGAGGCTGATGTGAAAGATGACTGGTATGAGCAACTACAAGTGGCAGTATCAAGAGTCCCACAGCACGACCTACTCCTAGTCATTGGTGACCTTAATGCAAAAGTGGGAGCTGACAATTCTAACTCTGAGAGAGTGATGGGGCCCCACGGATATGGGGTGATGAATGAGAACGGTGAACACCTGGTTGACTTCTGTATGAACAACAGGCTGGTCATTGGAGGAACCATTTTCCCGCACAAGACCATTCATAAGCTCACTTGGACATCACCTGATGGAACCACAACAAACCAGATCGACCACATCATTATCAATGGCAAGTGGCGAAAGTCCCTTAAAGATGTTCGAGTTTACCGGGGAGCTGATGCCAACAGTGACCACTTCCTTGTCGCCTCCTCCATCAGGCTGAAACTCCGGAAGGTCATTCCACAGAGTCAACAACGGAAGCGGAAACAACTGGACATCTCCAAACTCAAGTGTCCTCGTACCAAGACTGCATTTGTTCTCGAG